CACAGTTGAGTTCGACTCTTTGTGACCCCATGGACCACATCACGCCAGGCCCTCCTGTCTTCCGTTGTCCTGTGGAGCTTGCTCAATTTCATGTTCGTTGCATCGTTGCATCGATAACACCGTTGCATCGATAACACCGTCGAACCATCTCATCCTTTGCCGTCCCCTTCTTCTTTGACCTTCAATCTTTCCCAGCATCAAGGTCTTCTCCAGTGAGTGCTCCCTTCTCATTGGGTGGCCAGAGTATGTATTTGAGCTTCAGCTTCAGTATCCGGCCTTCCAGGAAACAGTCAGGGTTGATTTCTTTTAGGATTGACTGATTTGATTTCCTTGCAGTCCAAGGGATGCTAGGAACAAAAAAAATTAGAAAATGGCTGCTCAGAATCGCCGCTTCTTTTAGACAACTGACAAATGCCATGACTGCCACTGATACGTACCATACCAATGTTATCACTGCACAAATAATTCTGAAAAAAATGGGTGCACCCGATGGGGAACGTTGGAGGAAACCGAAAATGGCATGTAAATAAAAGATCGCTGTTTCTCTCTGCCCAGGGAGAAGGAGAACCGAAACCAGGACATGGAATTTGGTGGCATCCTTATCTACAATGGGAGGAAGACTATCTTCTCTCTGGCTCAGAAGCAGGGCTCTGGTGGTCATCCAGATGTTGCCCTCAGAAAATGTGGGCTCCCATGAGGTTCTGTTTGTGATGGATCAACGCCTGCCTTTCCTGGGAGCTCTCCTAGGTCCTGAAGAGACCTTTGCTGTCAAATCTCAGCCAACAAGTGGCATCCCTGTAGGGTTTGCAAGGCAAGACACATTCGGGAGTGGTTTGCCATTGCCTGCCTCTGCGTAGCAACCCTGGACTTCCTTGGAGATCTCCCATGCAAATGCTGACCTGCCCCGACCCTGCTTCGCTTCTGCGATCTGATGAGATCGGGTTGCTTGGGCTATCCAGGCAGGGCTCCCTTTCTGCTAACTGCTGCTTTCTTCCTTGGATGGCTTTTTTTGTTGTTGTTGTTCAGTCGCACAGTCGAGTCCGACTCTTCGCAACCCCATGGACCAGATCACGCCAGGCCTTCCTGTCTTCCGCCGTCCTCTGAAGTTTGCTCAATTTCATGTTCGTTGTATCTATGAAACTGTCTAACCATCTCATCCTTTGCCGTCCCCGTCTTCTTTGACCTCCAATCTTTCCCAGCATCAGGGTCTTCTCCAGTGAGGGCTCCCTTCTCATTGGGTGGCCAAAGTATTTGAGCTTCAGTTTCATTATCTGGCCTTCCATGGAACAGCCAGGGTCGATTTCTTTTAGGATTGACTGATTTGATCTCCTTGCAGTCCAAGGGACTCTCGAGAGTCTTCTCCAGCACCATAGTTCAAACGTTTTTACTAAAGGCCAAACCGTGCCAGGTTGCACAGCCAGGGCGATGAAGACTTCTGAGGAACCCAAAAGCTTGCTCGCTGCTCTGTAACAACCTGGCTGGTCCTAGGAAATAAGATATTGTATTTTTATTTTTATTTTAAAAACATTTGTCTTCTTTCCCACTTCTTTTCCTCCCAAAGAAGTACACATGAAGCTGCCTTCTACTGAATCAGACCATCAATCCATCAAGGTCAGTATTGTCTACTCAGACTGGCAGCAGCGCTCCAGGGGCTCAGGCAGAGGTCTTTCACATCCCCTATTGCTAGCTCTTTTAGCTGGAGATGCCGGGGATTGAACCTGGGACCTCCTGCATGCCAAGCAGATGCTTTGCCACTGAGCCACATTTCTCCTTTCCTGTTGCTGGTCCCCAGCACCTGGCATTCAGAGATATACTCTCTCTAAACATGGAGGTTCTGTTTAAGCTGTAATGACTCATAGCCCTGCCTAGGTCTGTCCTCCATGAAATGAAGCAAACAAGCTGAATAGCTGCTTAGATCTTAAAAAGGTATGGAGCAGGAGAATTGGAGCAGAGATAAACTATGTATAATCAGTTACAGAGTGCGGTTATGGAGAGTTTTTCCGCTTCAGCTTCTGTGTGTTTGTAGTAGTTGGAAGGCTAGGTTAGAATCTGGGGGGAGGAGGAGGAGGTGGGGGAGGAAGAGGAAGAGGAGTTGGATTTATACCGCACTTTTTACTACCGGAAGGAGTCTCGGAGCAGCTTACAATCTCCTTCCCCTCCCCACAACAGACACCCTGTGAGGTAGGCAGGGGCAGGGCTGCTCCCTCTAAGCTTTGGAGTCTTGTGAGCAAAAAAATCTACTTCGTGAGCTACTGGCATTAAAGTTGTGAGGAGCTACTGCATAAATTAATGTGCTCTGGAGCCATCCTTCCTGAGCCAAGACAAAAAAAAATCTGTGAGCCGGAGGCTAAAGAAACTGCGAACCAGCTCACACTAACTCAGCTTAGAGGGAACACTGGTTGAGAGAGCTCTGAGAGAACTTGTGACTGGCTCAAGGTCAGCCAGCCAGCTGCATGTGGAAGAGGGGGGGAATTAAACCCGGTTCTCCAGATTAGAGTCCACTGCTCTTAACCACTACACCAAACTGGGTGCAAATGACCCACTTAGGCATGAAGCTCACTGGGTGGCATCCATCCATCCATCCATCCATCCATCCATCCATCCATCCATCCATCCATCCATCCATCCAATTTTCATCGCTCTGCTTTCCCCACCAGGCAGTGCTCAGGGCAGTTAATCACTCTTTCTCAGGCTAGCTAGTCACGCTCTCTCAGACTAGCCTACCTTGCAGGTTGGGTTGCCAGGCAAGGAAGTGCTCAGGGCAGTTAATCACTCTTTCTCAGGCTACCTAGTCATGCTCTCTCAGTCTAGCCTACCTTGCAGGTCGGGTTGCCAGGCAAGGAGATTGGCGTAGGGTTGCCAATCTCCAGGTTGGGAAACTCCTGGGGATTTGGAGGTGGAGCCTGGGGAGGACAGGGACCTCAGTGTTCCCTCTAAGCTGAGTGAGTGTGAGCTAGCTGACAGTTTCCTAGCCTCTGGCTCACACATTTTTTGTCTTCGCCCAGGAAGGAGGGCCCCAGAGCAAATGGATCTATGCAGCAGCCAGAACCGCTCGCTCACCACTTTCATGCCGGTCGCTCACCAAGTGGAATTTTCGCTCAGAAGACTCCACAGCTTAGAGGGAGCATTGGACCTCAGTGGGCGACAATACCCTGGAGTCCAGCCTCCAAAGCGCTCGTTTTCTCCAGGGGAGCTGATCTCTGTGGCCTGGAGACGAGCTGTCATTCCAGGGGATCCCCAGGTCCCACCTGGAGGCTGGCATCCCAGCTCCTGGGGTCGCTGGGACAATAAGGCAAGGGAGGAGAGGGCTTTGTAGCTACCTGGAGAAAGGGCTGGATAAAAATGACAGAAATCGATTTTTACGGCATGGTTTACTTGGGGCATCGTGTTCCGTTGCCAAACGAATGGCACAGGCATCCGCCAAACAGAGAAGAAGAAGAAGAAGAAGAAGAAGAAGAAGAAGAAGAAGAAGAAGAAGAAGAAGAGATTGGATTTATACCCTGCCCTTCACTTGGAGTCTCAGAGCGGCTTACAAACTCCTTTCCCTTCCCCTCCCCACAACAGACACCCTGTGAGGTGGGTGGGGCTGAGAGAACTCTGACACAAAGGGCTCTTTCAGGAACAGCTGTGCCAGAGCTTGTGACTGACCCAAGGTCACATCAGCAGGTGCAAGTGGAGGAGTGGGGAATCAAACCCGGTTCTCCCATATTAGAGTCTGCGCACTTAACCACGAAAGCGGAACAGGACTGAACCTCCCGGCAGAAAGCCCTCACTCTCCCTTTCCCACCCTCCCCAGACTAACCCCAGAAATTTCCCCCTTCCACATTGCCACCTTCCCCTTAGTGGCTGGCTTTGACACGGGGAGGCAAAAGTCCTGGCCCCTGTCATCCCTGGGCGAGCGCTCATTAGGGCCTGGACAACCCGTGTAGTAAGGCTCGGGGTGGGGTGGGGGGAGCGGTCACCAAGGATTGGCTGGCGGAGAGAGAGAAGCTCAATGAAGCTGCCTGCGAACGCTGCAGCAGCATCCAGCTACCGGAGCTGGCTGTGAAGGGGAAGGCAGCATCTGATCGCGCTGCTCGGTCGCCAACTCGCCACAGCCGCATCCCCCTGTTCAAGGGGGCTTCTGTCCTCTCGCATTTGTTGCCTCGGAGTCGCAGGGGCAGGATCCCCAACCAAACCAAAGGGCTGGCTTCCTTCCCAGGAACTTCAGCTGAGAGAATCTCCACTAACTGCGAGGGTTTCTCCGAACGTCTGCCTTGGAGCATCGGGAGGCTGCGAGTGGCCCCCAGAGCCCGGCAGTGCAGTGGACGCCGGACTGGAATGGCTCAAGCACTCCTGCACCTCTGGCAAGGAGGGGCGTCTGCGAAAGGAAGGGTCTCCCGCAACGTTCCCTCTAAGCCGTGGGGTCTTGTGAGCAAAAATCCTACTTTGTGAGCTGCTGGCATTAAAGTTGCGAGCAAGCGATTTGACGACTGCATAGATTAGTCTGCTCTGGAGCCCTCCTTCCTGAGCCGAGACAAAAAGGTGTGAGCCGGAGGCTAGAAAACTGTGAGCTAGCTCACACTCACTCAGCTTAGAGGGAACATTGGTCTCCTGCAGCCGGACACCAGGCGGCCAGAGCCTCCACTTTGCTTCCTTCCGAACTTCCAGCTGGCGCACTGTGGCTTGAAGACCAGCCGGAGAGTGTTCCCGTCTCCAGCCCACCGCCCGGTGCTGCACAAGTCTACCAAGTGCCCCAGTAGGACCTTCTCCACCCGTGGATGCTCAGTGGCCAGTCGCACCAGAAGGGCACAGGGAAAACCCAACCGGATCGACCCTGAAGCCAGCCTACCCCCAGGTCCACTTTCCAACAGAGGCCAGCCAGCCACATATTCTCAGGATGTCCACCGGCACCGTCTTCTCTGCTAGGGGAGACTGATTGGTGAGTTCCCAGGTGGGTGTGCGTGAACGAGCAGGACAGCCGAAAGGCAACCGGGCTCCCTTCCTGCACTCCTTCCGAGATGTCTGACCGGGAGTTTGATGACTTCGACGGGGACAGTCTGTCCGACACGTCCTGGATGATCCCCCGGCTCCCGCCCTACAACATGGAGGACCAGCTTCTGCCCATGGAGCGCCGCAGCACCTGTGGCTGCTGGGCCTGGACTTTCCTAGTGGTGGCTATGAACTCTTTGGTCTTCCTCTTGAACTTCCTCCTCCTCGCCGCCATCTTCTCCGTGGTCCTCCTGCCCACCATCGTGGTGGTCTACTTCGGCTTCCAGTGCCACTCTCGGGTAAGTGACACGCAGAACTTTCCCCTCCCTTCCCGAGACTCGATCCCTGCACCGAAATACGTGGAGGACGGGCTGTGGTTGCTCCGTAGTGAGGGATGTGCACTCTGGACATGCTCAGAGGCTCAGTTAGCTTTGGTGTTCCTGGGCATGTTGCAAGGGTATGCCTTGGAATGGAAAACAGGCTCAAGGGGACAGAAAGATCCCTCTTCCCACTTCAAGTGGCGGGAAGTTCCAGGGGCTACTGTGCCACACAGCTAGGCCCTTTGTGAGGCGAGAATGGAGGAGACTTGGAGCGTTTTTGTGACGTCTGACGACTGCGAACTATGCAAGTTGAGTTATGGATGGATAGGCAAATCCCAAGGCAGGCAGTGGAAGCCGTTCGAGCAGAGTCAGTTTATGGGGCGATTTGGTTAATATAGCAGAGTTTTCCCAGTGATAGGAGCGTGATCCTGAGTGCAGTAGATAAATCTCTCAAGAAGTAAATTGCAAAAAAAAAGGTAAACTTACGTTTGTTCAAGTCGATCCAGCTCACATTCCGGTTGCAGTTGAAAAGAGAGAGAGAGAAGCCGGAAGAATGGAAAGATTTAAAAGAATATTTAGAAAGAAACTGGGACGTTAAGAATACTATACTGTAGTTAGATAACTATTAAGGTCAGAGTGTAGAATTGTATTAATTGTAAGCATAACTGTTACCTTGACATGAAAAAATATTTGTGGACAGGGGGAAGCATTGCGGGAAGCCGCCAAAAGGGGGGGGGAGAGTCAAAAGGAATGGATTTGATGGTTGTTTGCTAAATGTTGAACATGTTAATCCAAAAATAAAAATTTCTTATAAAAAATGCTTAATAACCATGGAGGACACAAAAAGAAAGAAAGAAAGAAGAGACTGATCCAGATCCCAAATGGCCAGCTTGTCCGGCATCATTGGTGTGGGAGGATGAGGGTGTTGTCTCTACTGGAGAGACCAGCAGAAACATGGCTCCGTGGAAGGCCATGGGAAGGGAGGGAGAGGACAAAGTGAGAGGGAGGAGGGGTCAGAGGGCAGCTCCCAGTGTAAGACAAAGAGAGGAACCTCATTCAAGGAGATACCACCTATACACACTTAGAGTGATGTAGCACCCCCCCCCCGATGTTCAGGCATGCTGAGCTGCTCCCTCCAACACAGCCCCCCCACAATCACACAGCATGTCCTTGGAACCCCCCTTCTTAACATCTGCCCAAAAGCAATTTAAAAAACACAAACCCAGTGAAAAATTGTTTCCTGCTTTCCACAGCCAAGCAAGTGGGTGTGTGTGTGTGCAATATTCCCTCTAAGTCGTGGAGTCTTGTGAGCAAAAATCCTACTTTGTGAGCTCCTGGCATTAAAGTTGTGAGCGAGCGATGTGGCTGCTGCATCAATTAGTTTGCTCTGGAGCAATGTTCCCTCTAAGCTGTGGAGTCCAGTGAGCAAAAATTCTACTGTGTGAGCTACTGGCATTAAAGTTGTGAGCGAGTGATCTGGCTACTGCATAAATTAGTTTGCTCTGGAGCCATCCTTCCTGAGCTAAGAGAAAAATGTGTGAGCCAGAGACTAAAAAACTATGAGCTAGCTCACACTAACTCAGCTTAGAGGGAACACTGCTCTGGAGCCATCCTTCCTGAGCTAAGAGAAAAATGTGTGAGCCAGAGGCTAAAAAACAGTGAGCTAGCTCACACTAACTCAGCTTAGAGGGAACACTGGTGGGGTGTCTTGTAGCCACCAGCCACGAAGGATACTGAGAAAGCAGATCTGAAAGCCTGGAGACCAGTGTTCCCTCTAAGCTGAGTTAATGTGAGCTAGCTCCCAGTTTTTTTAGCCTCCGGCTCACACATTTTTGTCTCCGCTCAGGAAGGATGGCTCCAGAGCAAACTGATTTATGCAGTAGCCAAATTGCTCGCTCACAACTTTAATGCCAGTAGCTCACAAAGTAGAATTTTTGCTCACAAGACTCCACCACTTAGAGGGGGCATTGCTTGAGACCGTTTTCATTTATTTGCTTTGTTCCTATCCCGTCTCTCTCCCTAACAGGGACCCAGCGTGACTTACACTGTTCTCCTCTCCTCCATTTATTCCTCACAACAACTCTGTGAGGTAGGTTAGGCTGAGAGTGTGTGAGTGGCGCAAGGTCACCTAGAAATGGAGACTTGAATGGGAAACCCCCAGATTTTAGTCCAACACTTTAACCCCAACACACAACATCAGCACAACGCAACCCCAGTAATCTGTACATGCTCAGAGGCATTCTGTGTTACTCCTTCGCTTGCTCAAGGGAGGAGCACAGATTCTTTGGGTGCACCCTAAGTGGGGATTTGGCCCATATTAAACTCTGGATGCGAAACAGCCACCTGATTTTGAAGCATGGGTCGTGAAAATAACATTCTGGACAACGGTGGTGTTTTCCTGCCATGGGGGGCAAGCGCAGGTTAAAGGCCCACCGTTTTCTGTTTGGGCACGGAATCTTCACTCCAGAAACTGTTCTCGTTTTTCAGCACTGCTTGTGGATCAATAAATCAACATTAGGCATTCGGTGGTACCAATAAATGAGGTGCATCGTACATAAAAACACACATGGCGTGCTAAAATTATACGACGTGTGCGCAAGGTACAAATGAGTCCACAAAAGGATGAAAGAAGACAGCAAAACATCTGCCAATAAAAATAGATATCCCTAATTCAAGTCTTATCTGTGCCCGGTCCGCAGCAGGCAGCGTTAGACAAACTGCTCTTCTTTTAGCCTGGGGCTACACTTCTTCAACGGGGAGAGAATAATATTGGCCAACCTCGAAGGCTTGTTGTAGTCAATGAGGAGGAAAACTGAGTGCGTCAGTGAGAGCCAGTTTGGTGTAGTGGCTAAGTGTGCAGACTCTAATCTGGGAGAACCCGGTTTGATTCCCCACTCCTCCACTTGCAGCCGGCTGGGTGACCTTGGGTCAGTCACAAGTTCTTTCAGAGCTGTTCTCTCAAGGACAGTTCTGGAAAGAGCTCTCTCAGCCCCACCTACCTTCACAGGGTGTCTGTTGTGGGGAGGGGAAGGGGAAGGAGTTTGTTAACCGTTCTGAGACTCCCAAGTGAAGGATGGGGTATAAACCCAATTTCTTCTTCTTCTTCTTCTTCTTCTTCTTCTTCTTCTTCTTCTTCTTCTTCTTCTTCTTCTTCTTCTTCTTCTTCTT